GTGTGTGTGTGTGTGTGTGTGTGTGTGTGTGTGTGTGTGTCTGTGTGCACATGCATGCATATGTAAATGTGCAAGCGCCGCTGAGCATGTTTGCATTTTCGAGTGTGCCAGATGTGGCCCGATGCCACACACATCCAGAGACACCAAGGCTCACAGTTGTTGAGCAGTAAACCATGACCCGTACAATGCCATGCTTTTATCTCAACATGACAAACCTCTCTGCTTTCACTGCAAGATTTCTAAAAAATATATATAAAATTAAATCCTGCTGGCCAAGAACTGAAACCACAGCTTCTCACATTTTAATATCTACTCACTAAATAATATATTCTAGAAATCAAAGTCATGATTAAAAAAGAGTGGATCTGATAAGAAGTGAAAAGGAAATCTTGCCAGTCAGCTCTTTTGCTTTAATCGGGAAACATTTTTTGGCAAGATTCATGTAGCATCTCTTAAAGCTGTGGTGTGAACCCTCAGAGGCACGGACCAGAACAATACACTCACAGGGTTTGGAAGTGCTCGGCTGTCCTCTGAAGCAGTCGTAAAATAGTACAACGCAACACAGCATGCAACAATAATGATGTAAGACCGTGACACAACCCAGGGTGCAACGCCTGAGAGTTTGTGCCTCCATGTGAGTTTGTAGATGCAGCCTTTGAAGGCACAACGATTAGAATAAACTAATCGTCTTAGTAATCCTCTCTAATGAAGCTTAATAAAATTCTCAGCATTTTTAGTAAAAATGCAATGCAGTATACAGATCCTGAAGAATGATTCTACACACAACTGAAGCACAGACCAGGTTATTGTTCAAGACTTAGAAGAAACAAACAATCCCAGCATGTCAGGGCTGATGGGCCCTCTGTTTTTCTTCCACACGCACACAAACACACACATATAAACACACTTTCTTTTTTTTCCAAGTCCAGCTATTCAGCTTCAGATGCCAGTCTTATTTATTAGATCTTGGCACCAATTTGGCATTACCAGCGAGTAAGCAGCTAATGCGTCAGCATGCCAGAAACAGCTAAAGGGCTTTGTCCGCCACGCCATAAGCAAAGCTGATTTAAAGCATGAGCAGAAGCCAAACAAGCTCGGTCCAATTGAGACAATAAATGCGTGTGGCAGACTGTGTCAAATGACAATCAGGCATTTGTGTACTGACAACTACTGCTAAAGGCAGACTCCCTCAGTCAAGCACAAGGAGCCGTCTCCTCCTAGAAATGAGTAACAGACAGAGCACCAATAAAGCTCTTATAGTTATCAATTTATTTTTCTCAATACAGTTTCTGTATCCCCTTTCAACCTGTGCCCTCTTCCCTTGGTACAGTTCCAGGGTATTTTCAGGCATTTCTCAGCTAATCTGTATTTGTATAAATCTGTCACAGCACAAGAGAAGACTTTTTACAACCTTTACTTGCTCAAGTGAATCCTCTTTTTTTCTTCAATAATTCCAAGAAGAAAATTAAAGGCCTAGCATTCTTTTAAATGGGACATATAATGCAAAATCTACTTTAGCCCTTAAATACATTTTGTTGTGTACCTGGAGTCTCTAGGAGGAAGAACAGTTGAATTTAGTCTCTCCTGGTGCTGCAAAGATATCTTTATATTCAGTTTTCTCTATTTCCTATTCCATTTTCTGAACAACAGCATCACAATATTTGATGCAGAACTCCTAAACAAGGTCTTAGACTTCCAGCTAACCAGTTTAGTGAATCTGTGGTTCTGCAGCTTCCTCGTCTTCATTCTCCTCTGGCTCTGGGTCAGACTCTGCTCCCCAACATATAAGGCTGGATGGACAAGTCTTCTGTTGTTGATGTCTTATAATCAATTTATAAATAAAAAGTTTATCCATCACTAGATAATCTTAACTCTGCTGTCAAACTACAGACATGGATGAACGAGATGGAGCGGACAAAGACCAGTGGGGGTGCGACCCATCACCAAAAGGAGTTGATATTGGACACAACTCAGAAAAGAGGTGAAAGAGGGGCTTGTGGCATTACAATAAGGAGGAATTCAGACCAACACATTGCAGTTCCACTTTATAAAGACTCTAACTGAATGATTTAAATGTGCAGAAGGATTTAAAAGCACAATATGGCTCCTTTAAGGAACAAATTTCACCCAACAATTTTCCTGCCAAATTTTCATACTAAAATCATATTATGATAACAAATAATGGTTATTTTTGTCAAACCTTTAAAATAACATTATGTACAATCCCATGCAGTATTGTGAGATATCACATGAATATTTGTCAGACTGGCCATATTTGTGTTGGCTAAGATCAATTAGTTGTAGCAGACATCTTGAGAATTGAGTCAGCTTGTCAGATTTAGCCTTGGTTGTTGTTGTTTCATGGTTCTTTTCGTGTGACATGTTCTCATTCTGTTTTGTTGTTAGGTATTCTTGTGTTTTATTTTATTTTTATTATTCCTGTCTAGTCTCTTTGTGATTCTTGTGCCTTTTCTTCCACTTTATCCTCAGCCACTCTCAAATCATGGGTTGCAGCTGACATTGACCATGTACAGTAGATTGTGACCAACGTGGGCCATAGGCCGCTCGTATCTGCCACATAAATTTCCAAACTCTGATGGAAAAAAAGTCATAAAATAAAAAAGAACCTCCACTGTCTGTGTATTCCTGTTTAATTTGTTGGTAGCGTAATGAATTCTCGGATGCTGTCAGCTATGTAGGATACTCAGATACAGCCTACCGTCTCAGGGTTTTGTTGGCCACATGAGTAGGTGCCTACAAATTGGGACAGCCTACGGCGCGGGGCAGTGACGTAAGCGGCCGACGTTGGCTGCAAGCCACGAATTGAGACACAGCTTTAGTGTTTTTACAGCCTGCCACTCACACCTGTCCATAGATTGTAATCACCCAGGTGCATCCACTTCTCAATCATCCTCTGTTGTATTTACCTGGTCTCCTGTCTCATTTGCTCCAGTGGATCATCACCTGATTTTATGCCTCAAGCGCAATTGGGCTTTATGTTTTATGTTTCTCCTCAATGTAATTTTTGTTACTCTAATGCTGCCACATCCGTGTTTTCTTTTTATTATTAAATAAATCAGTTTTTCTTTAGACTTCAGCTCTGCATGTCTGCCTGAATTATGGGTTTTACTATACCACGATCCTAACACAACTCCAAAACATCCTCAGTTCTTCATGTCCAACCAGTGAGTTCATTCTGAGTTTCATTAAAATCCATCCAGAGGAGGGATATTTTGCTAACGCTACAAACAAGGGAAAAAAATGTTATTGCTTTCACCTTCAGTGGCGAGTGATAAAAAATAACAATGATGACCTCACCAACAACAAAAAATGTTCCTCTTTTATTTCTCATCCTGTTTTCTGGCCAATAAAGAGACCCCCACACCTCTTGAAAAAGGGCCCATCAGCCCACTCCAACATGTTGTTATTCCCTCTGTGACAATCAAAACACCTTTCAGCCTTCACATGCCCTATATTTCTCCTCCATCTACTTCTCAACATTCTCTCATTCATCTACCCCCTGTGTCCTTCTTCCACCACCACCCCTGCATCCCCCCATGCCATGCTGTCGCTTCTTTCCCAACATTATCATTTTACCCATGGCCTTTCCTTTTGCCCTCATCCGCCGCACTAATTATTTATCTCCTTTCTATTGTTCTTACCATCTCCCACCAGCTGCAGCAGAGCCAGGTCAAGAGGACGTTTCCAGCGTGAGTTTTTGTGCAAGGCGATACCGTAGCCTGTGGTGGCAAAAACCTTCCCCGAGCCTATGGTCATCACCTTGGAGAGAGGACGAGTTTGCAGATAATTAAAAGCTAACTGGCAGGCGAATGGCTGATCAAAACGTGCATACGGGGTGTAAGTCCTCACCTTACAGCCTTCGTCCTTCCTGGCCATATAGTTCAACACCGCAGCATCGTAAATAAAGGCATCCAGTTTCCTGTGAAGGGGTAAAGGTAGAATTCATTCATCATTTAATGGAAAAGAGACAGCACGGGGATTGAGGAGACACCGGCTAACGCAAAGCAGGAGAGGGGTTGAATAAAGGTATGTCTCCACAATGTACCCAGGAAGACAGCTGGGGTGTAAAAAAATACAAATACAAATACAGCAGACAGGCTCAGGGAATGATGGAGAGGGCATAAAAAGTTAAATAATGACAAGGAGAGCGAGAAAGGGTGGAAGAATGAAGCGGGTTTGGCAGCAAGAGTGAAAACACAAGGAGAATGAAATAAGGCAGAAATCAGCTGAGAATCTGTGAGTAAGAGGAAGATGGTGGAGGAGGCTGAGGAGGATTTACGGAGCAACGAGTGCAGCGACAGGGAGAGTCGGAGGAAATGGGGAGGTGGGCTGGGGGGGGATTTACACACTTCAGGGTGCACTGAAAAAAATGAAACTTTGGATTAACTTAAAAAAATTGATGTAATTTGTTACACCTAATTTCATTGCTTTATCTCAATCTAAACTTTTGACTTGGTTAAAATTGTAAATGTTAAGTTAATATTAAGTAAATGCAAAAATTTAAATTCATCCAAAGTGAAATTT